TCCATTATTAAATCTAGCAGAAGCTGATATAGCGCCACACGCTACGAAACGATGAACTAAAAGGTATACAAAGTAACGGCACAATTGATTTTTGTTTGCCATTGTTATTTGCTCTTGCGTTACTTTTAACGTACTCATAGAATTCGTGAAACGCTCCGAAATCTAAGTCAAGCTCTCAAAATAAGACGTGGAGAAGCATATTTCTCATTATTTTCTACACTGTCAATCTACGTGTTTTCTCGCGCGACTAGATCTTATGACTCGTTTTACGATTATTTACTGTTCAAAGAAAATGTTAATTTTCGGCACATTATATAAGTGTGCTGAAGCGATTGAAGTGTTCTTTTGGGCGAATTTGTTGTTATATAAAAATAGCACGCAAAAATTTTTAGCACGCTCTTTTTCACTTCTGACATTATCAATCCAATATGGCGGCTATCCAAGAGTCTTAAGCCCTACGCAGAATAAAAAATACAGGTAACAGGAACAGAGAATGACACAAACGATATATTTCTAATTTATCGGAAACCGTGTATAAATGCACAGCAATTAATACATGGTTGGTCCGATGGGAAATCTATCGCCCGCGGTTTTTCATTGGGCTTTAACGTATCAGGGAATCATGAGACGATGAAGATATAATTTGTACAGTAATTTATTATATTTCCTTTTGGTGTTACCTTTTATTTGACATGATGACATGTCACTCGTACCGCCGCGATATCTTTTCCTTGCTACATGCTTTGCTCCATTCTTTTGAATATATGAAATCGTTGGTCGTCATACTTTTCGCACACATATGTATGTACCTAAAGAAAGTATCGTTGCTTCTTGTACCATGTAAATATAAAGTCTCGACTGTGTTCGATATAAAAAGTCTTACATCCATGTGATCATTAACAAAAATAGAGTTCCAATCTTTCAGATAGCAATACAATAGTTCTTATTATCACATCGAGGTGAGTCTCGCGTGTTAAAGTTTCATTATGTCCATTGAAATTGTATTTCGTGTGCTGCTGGCTTTAGGCATTTTTCATCTCTTCAAGAAAATTGTCCCATGCGTTTCTCGTTAAAGCGGGGTCTACAATAAGAATTTAAGCCTTAAAAAATTGACCAATCACGACCAGTCGATTATTCTCCTCATATTCGACTGTGATTAGTCAATTTCTTAAGGGTTACGCCTTAAATCTTCATTGTAGACTCTGCTTAATAAGGTCCAATTTCCGCGATAACGTGCATTTGCGATTGAAATTATCTGCCTTTCGTAGTTGTGTTGCAGGACGCTACCTAAGTAGAACAAATTTCTAAAAACCCTTTAAAAACGTCTAAAAGATGTCTAAAAACATAAAACGTTTTTTAGACATTTTTACAGACATCTTTTAGATATTTGTGCTACTTGGATCTCTTACTCATAAAAGTGGTCGTCATATAGCCGTTTATTTTTTTTTGTTATTCCAATCATAGTCGCCTAACGTTATCCAGCTTACGAATAAATCGTCTCGGCTAAATTTGCATAGTGATTAATAAGACGGAAAACAAGAAACAATTAATAAAGGGTCATCGCTTCGTAACAATTTTCATAATGACAGCGACGTGCAAAATTATTGGCATGATATAAAAATCAAGTTACGTTTCATTTAAGCACCGGATATATCTCACGATATCTCATTGTATACGCGTCATTTGCGACATATGAATTAAAATTTTGTCGAATTATGTACTTCACCCACTCGTTGTGCATTTTCTCGCGACGATTCGTAATACTTATGTATGTACTATTGTTTGTACTGAGGAATTAAAACACAGGAAATGTAATAATATGCAATTTTATTGGCTCTAGGAATCAGCGCACAGGATATCCGAAGTATCTCGAAATGGAACTTAATGATACCTACATAAAATTGTTAAAATGATCGCGTGAATAATGAAACATCTTGAAATGATACGTAATTTAAAACCAATCCCTCATTTTAATTTACTAATTATGCAGATCTCGAAACAAATTATCATAATGATTTAACTTATGACCTACGAGTTTTTTTCTTGTAATGTAATGTAAGATCAAATATTCTATAATTCGGCCATTGCTTATTTTCTTTTGGATATTTGCTATCCTTTGATGGCATCAAGAGCGAGGAAAATCATGCTAATTTATGTGACGGTATATGTAGAGATAAAAGAATTTACGTACACCCGTGATCGATTTAGCACATTTGTAAAAATATCCAGACGCTTTCCTTTAACCCGAACGATTAAAGCTCCTGGGTAGAAAATCGCTGCAACTATCCTTGTTTGATGATGTCAGAATCGAGAAAACGCATGTCAAGAATTCGTGCGTTTTACATTCAAATAAAAAGATATACTCACAAAATGACATTTGTGATTAATTCGGTACACTTGTAAAATTATCATTTTATTCGAACAAACAATAAATAGTCGTAAAATTAATATTGACAAAATCATGACAAAAGAGGTTAAGACGAATGGTTCCGCGTTCAATTAATTTTACGCTTGTTTATTGATTGAGTAAAAGTACACGGACAGTTTTACAAGTGTACTGAATCGATCACAAATGTCATTTTGTGAATATACCTTTTTATTTGAACGTATAACGTAAGAATTCTTGACATACGTTTTCTCGCTTCGACGTCATTAAACAAGGATAGTTGCAGGAGGACCCTTAATAAATAGCCATAAAATTAACGTAATAGTAATCATGAGGAAAAATAAATTAAAAACCGTAAGTTGCATGTTATACTAACTTATGGCTATTTATTAATTGTTATAGGAGAGCGTTCGGTCATTTTTACAAATGTGCTGATCACGAGTGTTATTTTGTGCGTATAATTCTTTTATCTCCACATATACCATCATATAAATTGGCATGATTTTCTTCGTTTCTGAGGTCACCAAAGAAAGACATAGCGAGTACCCAGGAGCCTTAAAGAACTATCTGTTTGCTCCTATCAATAGAGATCCTGAAAATTATTTGTCCAATATTTGAGAATTATTTGTACATAAAATATATTGATAGATCCCGGAGTCATCCTGTTTTACCACAAATTTGTTAATACTATATTCGTTACTAAATGCACAGAATTAAAAATCCTTTTGCGCAATTACAATACATATGTTAATTTAGGCGAAGTGATGTAAGTTGACTTTATTCAAAAAACGAAAAAAGTTAACAAATTTGAAACTTCTCATTTTTCGAACAAAGTTAATTATCTACGTTAAGACTCCGAAGTCAGTTGAGAACTCCGCATTGACAGTAGCGACACAGTTCAGAACGATAAAAGGATGAACTAATAGAGTGCGCCCAGCAAACACTACAAATACTTCGAAGCGTTTCTCTTTCTTCATCTATTTTCCGGGACCGCTCTTATGAGTGGCATGTTGACAACGAAATATTGTGTTGCGTACCATTTTTTTTTTATTATATACAGGTGTGATTTGTCACATACTTGTTAAACTCATCAAAATGGGCGAAAATCCAAGATTAGAATTTTACATGTACATATTTTCTACTCCTTTCAAAACCGTGTGTTTTCCTACATGCCTTATTTCACATACTTTTTACGGCTAATTATTGACTGTCAGGGGGGAAAAAAGAGTTTTCATCCACTTTCACAAGTGTTTTCAAGCGATTTCAAGTGTTGTTTTACCCAAGTATCTTTTTATTTGCAAATCGTACGCAATATCTCTCAACGTGTCGCATATGACGTCACGAACCTGATATGGCCGCGACGATTACTGCGAGCCTTAATGTGTATTTTAATTGTGCAAAAATAATCTTAATTCTGGGCAACAAGCAGTTACCGAACAGCTAATAAATGTCTGCTGGTACTAACAAATTTGCAGTAAAAACAGGACGACTCCAGGATCCCTTTAAACTTTGATTATTTCCTACGGATTGTAATGATCACCAAAGCAGAGTTATGTTAATGAAGAAGCTTTTACGTTATTTTCACCATAGAAAATTACATTCCATGCGCATATACTTTTTAACGTTGTATTTTATCCTTATAAATCTGTAATGTTTATCTTTACGTTATCACGAAGCTATTTCTTTTCTCGCACACATGCACGCATGCACGCACACACATGCACGCACACACACACGTTATATATATGTATGTAATTTACTTTAGAAATAGATTTATATGATCAAAATTCATATTCAAAACTCACATATGTAACACAAAAATATGTGGCCGTACATAATAATGTTCCTATATAAAAACGATTCACTTCTAAAAATTTTCTTCTTTTTAAACATATATAGAAGTATTAATTAATATACATTTACATAAATCTTTGGATGATATATATATAGATGATACTATAAAATCATGATAGTGATTATAACTAAACGTGGTTTAAACCTTTCAAGACCGCTGTAAAATGATGTTCACGTTTATTATCAAACATTCTTAGAAACAAAACTCGGAAATAACAAATGAATCGGTATTTGTACTACAGTTTCCACAGTTTTAGTTTTTTTTTATGAATAATTATTCTTTCATCATTAATGTCATCTATTACTTTAGCCGAACTGCTTCTGCATATATTAAATATTCAGCGTTAGTTATTATTTTATATATTTAACTGTATTAACGTTATATTTTCTATATTAATGTAATATAGTAATATTCTTGCGCGTCACATATACGTATTGATCTTTGATAACTTTCAAAAACAATAAAAAAAGCTGTCGCAATATAATTGACGATATATCGTCTTGAAAGGATTAAACAGTAAGAATATCCGCAATGTTTATGTGAGTTTTCAACATGAATTCTGTTTTGCAATTTAAATATTTATCAAAGTTACATTATGCTGGTATATATTATTCAGCAAATACTTTATTTATATAAACTCTGCAAGTCCAGCTTACCATCGTCAAATGCACTTTTAGGTTTGTTTTATCCATGTATGAAATTGCTGCTTATATTCGTAATAGTACAAGAGTGTGTCAATAAATTATTAATAAGATTAGAAAATCTGTATTCCATCTATTCAATTTGCATTTATCTCCCGATCGGGTAATATTTTCTTTCGTTTTAAAAATGACAATTGATATACATTGTTTTAAATCGGCGCAACTTATTGCTTGATATATTTAGGGTGCGGTAACATTTAGTTTTCTCGGATATATAATGGAAGGAAAGATACAATACTTTCCGTTATTATTTGACTCGTATTGGCAACTGTCTCGCAATTGAGACAAACAATTAGTTCGCAATAATAAACTAACGAGAAAATAGGCCTATGTTTAACACATGTGTTATTAAATTGTAAATAGTAGACAGGTAGTAATTTGAACACGAGCTTTATCAAAAATCGAGATTTCTCACATAACTGTCATTATTCTGCGAGCAAAACCATGCTTGTGTTACTTAATTATTCTGCGTATTTATTACTTAAGGTCGATAATATACGGATTAATTATCAATTGCAATGTAACAGATATTTTTGTGTAGTATTTTTCCCGTAGTTCCTTGTTTAAGAATAATTGTGTTTGACAATGCAAAGTTACAACATTACAATAATTACAAGTTAATCATGTTGGCACGATTGACATGATTTTTGTTTTCGCGCTAGTTAGGCGTGCGAGTGAAGAATTTAATGTTTGTACCATATTCGTATCGATCATACGTGAATCGAATGAAGCGGTCTGTTAATTCGTTCTCGTGTTGCGCTCATCCACCTACATTCACATTTCCACTCGTCGACACATGACATGAAGTATCTTTATAACCATCGTAAAATCACGTATAGACTGTGCACTGACGCAATTCCTATAATATAGGCAAAAAATTACTAATCATTAGTATTTATAAATCATATATTAACCTGCCAACACGAGTCTGTGAATTGTTCAGTCGCATATTCCGCGTACGTTTCTTTCAATCTGCGAATATATCGAGCTAGCGAACTTGATAGTAGCCTGGAAAGTTATGCATGTGTTCCGCGTTTGTCTGTTTTTTTTTCCTTTTTTTTTTATACACATATGCGCACGGCAAAATATGGGATGCAATCTTGTATGTCTCTGTGTGTGTGTATATATAGCATATATGAATGTGTGAGCTGCGTGGACGGCGCTACATACACCACTTTTCGGTCAGTCAACCACTGACGGATTAGCGGTTGACTATCGTCAATATTACTCGGACACTCAGCTGTTCCGCTAGGAGCTTTCAGTTCAACGTGCCTCGCTCACGTCAATATATACCGTTGTATTATCTACAAAGGATGAAGCAATAAGTCGTAGAGTTTTGGAAAAAAAAAAAAAACGATCTTTCGTCTTGATACTACAATGGGTATACCTGCATACAGATGTGCTAGAGTTTGTCTTGGAATAGGAAGAGATTGTTCGTAGCAGCGACAGCTACTACATTTTCAGATGGATGCCATGCAGTATGAAGTATCTTCTTATTGAAGTCCAGACAGTCAACGCTGATTTCATCCTTCTTGCGTTTACCGCCAGTGCATACCTGCCGTCATAAATCATCTCGTCTCGAATTCGCGTACACACGAAAGAAAGCAAATTTTCTATGTGCTAACCTTTCTTGGCTTAAGGAGCGTTTTTGGCTTGGCAATGTCACGTGCTGCCTCTAAGGTGAGATCGCGTTTGGTTGTACGATCAAATACTCTGAAGAAATTGTTGTACGAACCCGTCATGATGGCAGAGTCATTACCACTCCAACAACATTCGAATTTGTCAAAGATACAGTCATTCTCATACAATGAACATAATTTTGATCTTAAGTATTCGTGTACCTATAGCAACAAAGTCATTACCGGTAAATATATGGTCTAGACCAATATCTATAATATCTTCTATAATAAAGCGAAATTATATAGGAATGAGATGATTTTCTCTGGAGGGAAAAGCTGATCGTTACGGCAGGGAAGGCGCGATTAATAATTCCGTAAGAAGAAAGACCGCTCTCCCTTTCCAGCAGACTTACAGGATAACATTCGATTGGCTTTGTCTCCATTTGCAAGTCCCACACTTTCACACTGAGGTAGTCTCTACTGATCATATATCTCCCGGAATTACTGAGCTTCACATCACTTATACTTGAAATAATTTCTGAGAAAAAACTCCTATTAGTTGGATCCTCGGGTTCCTCGAAGAGTTTGCTATGCTGATCACAAAGAGCGGCAGATCTCATATCGCAAAGCCTAATGGTTCCTTTGCTACTACTGTACACCAAAACGTTGCATTCCGCGGGATGAAATTCCGCCGCAGTTATGACTTCCGTTAATTCTTCCATATTAGTTGGCTTAATGTCTACTATATCTATATGTTGCGGTTAGGAAAGTTACATATCAAAAGTTTCACCGATATTCTATTCTATCGCCAAAATTAAATTGCAGCGTCGTTAAAAAGGATACTAAAACTCTGGTCTGTTATCTCAAGGTGCCAAAGATTAATTCTAAGATCATCAGCACTGAGGTATGTCTCTTGATCACTGTTGACACTTATACTGTTTATGTGATAGGTGTGCGCATTGGCAAATATTCTCCTTGGTGATGCCTCTACCATCAACTCCATTGGTTTTATGGTTGGCACCTATGTATCAAATACTTAATAATTACTGGACACATAATGATAGAGTTTTATTTAAACGATAAAAGGTAGTAGATAAAACAATGCTATTGTGTAAAAATTACCACCGCTCGCCGCAGATATATAAACTTATGTTAGCACAATTGAGATACTCACCCTCAAGGCAGTGATGCAGGCAGGATCACGGATCGTACCATTTTCTTCTTTCGTATTGTATCCTTCTACTCTTTTATCTCTCTCACTAACTTTCCACAACTTGATTGTTTTATCGTTCGTGGAGAGTAAAAAATGAGCAGGGTTTTTCCTCTTTAGCCATCTAATTTTGTTAATTTTTTCTTCTATCTCTAGTGATTTTAGGTAATCGAACTCTGGCTCATGGCTCTGGAAGGTGCTATACACGTTGTATTCACCTCTCCGTGGTATACTGTTTTTACTCTGTGTAAATAATTATTTTGTGTTTTATAGATTATTCTAATAAAATAACGACTATTTCTAAGATACCTTAGTGATATCCGATTCAATTAAAACAATCCAAATACCACGCTCGATAATTTATAATTTGCTTAATCCTGTATGACCACTCTACCACTGCCAATCTATAAGCTTGTAAATGGTAATATGTACCTGTATAATAGACTCAGTCAAGAGAGCTATTCTGACTCAATAGAAGATCAGACAAATACTAAATTACCGAACGTTACATAGGCCTTGAAAAGACACGACACAGACAAATGAGCACCAACTTATAAATATCAAAAACAATAATAATAATCAACTGAAATTAACTGAAATATTTCTTCCTGAAGATAGAGAATGCGACATGTTGCGATTAATATAGACAGATCAATATTGGGATCATTAAGGTCTGTGTGACATTTGGACTGTTTATCTAAAAAATATAAAGCATATTTTAAACAATATATCCAACAATGATACGTCCGCATCTTTTTTATAAACTCTTGTAGAAAAAAGAATATTTGTCTATCTCCATTCATTATACTCACAATGGGGTCTCTCTGAAAAATGACAACACGTCCACCCTTGTCTCCTGTTGCAAGAAGATCGCCATCGTGATTAAATTCAACACATGAAATTATATCAGCTGCAATGAAAAAACGTAATAATCGTGTATTGACATAGGTTTTTCATACGTGCTATCGAAACGATTATACGAACATGTATTAGCGCAAAAATTTACGAATTTACTAGTGATATATTTTTGATTTTACAAGATATCCTGAGTCTCGATTCGCAGCTAGTTCTTTGTTTTATTTTAGTATGTGCAAACTGATAAGATAAAAGCCGCTTCCCAAGCTAAGCAAACACAGATCAAACTTACCTTCTGTGACGTCCTCTTCTAAGGTTCCCTTTACTTGAGAGAAACACCATTGTATATCACCATTGCCTGTAACACAACATCGATAATTTTGAGAACACCCTTCTTTCTCTACTAATTCGCCTCAGTCATGAATACATTCGGCGAGTATTTACAGGGAGCACCTTGCGATAAAAACATAATTGGAAAGCTTATGGTTCGCTCATTCGCGATGTCAATCGGCAAACAGTTGTACGTTACCCGCGTTTCAAGACGTTTTTTAAGCTTGGTCTACAATGCGCTCTTTCCTTATTTCTGCCTTTTGTTTCTTTTTATCACCTAGAGTCCAGAAACGTTGTCGTATACAATTTGTTTCTTCCATTACTTCGCATGGACACAGAATAAGACAGTTTTTGCATGCTGACTAATGCAAACTCTTGTCGTCTGAGATCAAAGTTAACCAATTCCGATAAAGGAAAACGACAAAACACACACAATTGTTGATAGAACAGTGCATCAAGAAGCAAAGAGACAAGAAGTAAAAAGCAAAACAAAGAGCACACTCGGTAGATCAGGCTTTCAGATACAGTAAATGCTAAAGTGCGATATTCAGTGCGAAAGTTATCCTGTAAATTTGAAGTACTGGCCAGGATGAATTTTAGCGTTTACCGTATCTGAAAGACAATAAAACACCCTATTGGCCGATAATATTACGGTTTCAGCGATTTCTGTGGTTAGCGATATTATAAAGGCAAACAATTAAAATGACAAGACATGGAAGATATAATATAATTAATGGCGTCCGTACACATTGTTCCGACTTTTTGTTTTGCAATCCATGACCCTTCTACCCAAGGGGAGAGACATTTTAAGCAGAATTATATATAAACGACAAAATGTTTCGTGTATGTAGACGATCCAGATGAACAAGAAATGAAGGGGAACGAATTTATCGGCGTTTATTGATCGATCATTCAAACACTTTTGGCGGATATATGATATTCCATAACACCGACTTTGTGGTTTCCCCTCCATGAGCATTCGGATACTCGTTATCTCGCAAAGTTTGTAGAAAATTGATAAAATTCGCACGTGACCAGTGTCGCGAGCGCGACGTGTTGAAGCGAGGCGGAAAGAAGCGGCGCGGGAGGACGATGGTAGGAAACAAGCGTAAAATAATCGTCGCTCCAGCGCGTGGCACCGAACATGGATAAACATGATGTTTACCGATGATGCTTTGTTGTTAAGGGAAATCAAGTGATAGCAACGACAGTCTGGAATTAATCGCGAGAGGAGGAGGCTGCGGAATAGTTACTTGAGAAACACCGAGCGAGGGTGACCCGGGGGTGCGAGTTCTCCTCGCGGAAGGACGCGCTCATTGAGCGAGTGTGAGATAGATCGGCGGACGGGGGGGGNAGAGAGGTAAAAGTGAGCCTACTTGAAGTTTCGGCGTAATCCATCGTGTTTCTAGACCGCTGCCGTCGCCGCCGCCGCCGCCGCAGTCGTCGCTGTCGCCGGCGACGGGCACATAGATACCTGCTCCCCCCGCGCACGGGGAGTAATCCGACCGACGCGATTGAGGAGGATTACGGGATTGACTCTAGGCGAGCACTCGGTTATACCCGCTTCTTATCTAGGTCAAGGTTTGTCGCGACGGCACGAGCTGCTGCCCAACGGGACGCGCCGTTTCACAGCCTCCGTTTCTGTCCTGCGACGCGCGGGCAAATGTCGCCGGTTTAATCGACGTCGCTCTGTTCCTCGCTGGAGCACTCTACTTACCGGCCATCTCGCACACGGGGAACAACACGGAAGAACACGCGAACGCCTATTCGCAGAACGCTCTTCGGGCAAAAGGATACGCGCGCGCGTGACACGCCGGCTGCGAGGATCGAGAAGACGCGCTCGCCCTGGGGGGATAACACGAGAGATTCGTGCTGCTCGCTCCTGATCCTCCGTCACATATTTCCGTTGTTCCGTCGTGTCACTAATCGCTCTCCGCGACCTACGCGACGTACTCTCTCAATGGCGGAGATCACAGACGCATAACCGCACAACACGGCGTGACGTCACTGTGCGCAACTAGCTTTCGCTACCTACGAAACGACCGCCATCTTGCACGCGATGCAGGTACGGCGGTACGCGAGCTACACGAACGCGCACGACGACGACCGAAAGCGCCGCGCTCGTACGATGCGCCAAATTCAAATGCATTTTGATCGGGCTTACTGATGAATACTAAGAGATCAATCTCGTAACAATTTCGCTGTTTAATAAGCTTCTGTCTATATATCTGTGTCGAGTTATCATATATGTGATAATTGCACAACAAAATATCTGGTATACTTCACTGGCTGCATTCCTATATTCATTATCAGTACTAAAAATAATTCACGTCATCCGTACGTAGCGATTGTCGATTACGCCTGTAACTGTTAACGACAGTGTCGTTATCATATATGGCAGAAAAGCTGCGCAACAACGCCGTAACAATAATAATAAAAATTACGGCTACTGGGATGCTATTCCGTTTACTGACAACTGTCGGCTAGGAAATGTGCGCAGATATAACATATGGTAGAAAACCTGCGCAACATACCGATTTGTATCCAATGAATAATCCGACAATATCACAAGTTTAGAGTATCGTTGCACAGCTTTTCTGCGATATATTATACCTGCGCAACGACGACGTGTCGTTAAAAGCCAGTACGCACGAATAAAACGGGCATTTAAGCTTTAAGCTTTAAGAAATTGACCAATCACAGTCGATTATTTTCCACATATTCGACTGTGATTGGTCAACTGCTTAAAGCTTAGAGCTTAAATTGTAGAGTCCGCTTTAGATTCACGTATTCCAAAAGACGATAAGTTTAGCCTTAAACAAAAGTAACTCAACTGTTTGAAATCTAGTTACTTCTGTTTAAGGCTAAACTTATCGTAAAGCCCGTATCAGGCCGGTATTTATAATCGGATCTTATATTTATCTTCGGGTGCTCTAGGGCTCATTTCATTGGCCATGAAGCATCTGAAGATAAACCTAGGACGGTCTTAAATATAAGATCTGAATACCGGCCTTAGACTATGGATTGAGATTGAATTTGGCCAATCAGTACAAAGTTAACTGAATTCAAGTTCAGTGAAATTTAGTGAACTTTGTACTGATTGATTAATTTTTAATTCAATCTTAATCTCCAATCCGTAGTCTGATACGGGCTCAAAGCTGTGTATTATATGTATCGTACGACGAGCATTGTCGGGTCTGCTGATTGGATAGAAAATTTTAAGGGTCCCTAAACTTTTCTCTAGACACACTAGAAATTCTCTATCTGACCGCCAATCAGCACATTCGACAAACTCGTCATACGACGTATATAACACCGGTCTAACTTTACACGTAATACATTTTTAGTTGTAACCGTAATTCCGTAAGAAAATTAATCAATCGATTATTCTTCGAGCGCGAGGAGAATAATCGGTCAATTTTCTTACGGATTTAGATTAAGACTAAAAATTTCTTACATGAAAGTCTTAAGAAGAATAGTGATATTGATTCCTCTATTCTGTAACTCTTAGTGAGAATTCACACTTTGATAGAGAAACAGAAGGCAGAAAAAAAAATTAGAATTCGCGCTGGTAGTCGATAGTTTCTGCTTTATCTACTGCGTTCCGATATCTGACTCACGGCGTATTGTAGAACATGCCTCATGTCCGTTACACACTACGAATTGAGATTGGATTGAAATTTGACCAATCGGAGCAAGGTTAATTAAATTTGAGTTTAGTCAATTTTGTGCTGATTGGTCAAATTTCAATCCAATCTCAATCCTTAATCTGTAGTGTGTAAAGCTTATATCAGATATACGGATTAAGATTGAATTTAGCCAATCAGTGTAACTCAAGTTTAATGAGATTTTGTGAATTCTATACTAATTGATCAAATTTCGATCTAATCTTTAATCCATAGTCTGATATGAGCTTACCGGGCATTTAGCTCGTTCTACAATATACCGTATGTCGGAATCGATGTTCCAATGAGAGAATTAATTTTTCAAAAGTGAGTTCTCCTCATTGGACCATCGATTACGTTTTGACATCCGATAGCGACATGTGACGCATTATAGAATAGGCTTAAAAAATTACAGAATCGGACTACTGTAGCCTTAGGGAGAATTCATACATTGACAGAAAAGCAAAAAGAAGAAAAACAATAGCCAATCAGAATTTGCGCTAATAATAAGCAATAGATAAAGCAGAAACTGTCGACTACCAGCGCGAGTTCTGATTGGTTGCAGCTTTTTTGTCAAGATGTGAATTCTCCCTTAAGTTGCGTATGGGAATACGCTGTGAGCACACCACATTAGCCGTTCAACAACATTGAGAGGGATGAACGCTTATATTCTATAAGCTTATAAGCATAGTTTAAAGCATAGTGTACAATGGACAGAAGGAATATGTTCATAAAAAGTAAAAATAAGAAATTGACAGTCGAATGTAAGAATAGTCGGTTATGATTGGTTTATGATTGGTTTATGACGGATTATAATTAATTTCTTATTTTTACTTCTTGTAAACATACTTCTATTGCCCATTGTAGATCACGTTTAAGACTTTTGTACGTAAGAAATTTTTAGCCGTAAATCTTTCAAAGAAAATTGACCAATCATAATTGATTATTCTCTTTGCGCTCGAAAAATAATCGACTGTGATTGGTCAATTTTCTCAAGGAATTACGATTACGATTGAAGATTTGTTATGTGGAAAGGCCCTTACACTGTTCATTTCGGAGCCGTAAATGCTCACAGTGCGGCTTGTGACGTCATCGTTACGTCATAACTCGCACTCATGAACGCTTATTATAACAATTGATTAAATGACCTTGTAGTCTGAATTTGTATTTTAATGGCACTAATGATCTGTGCTTGGGCTCTTAATAGCCTCTTCCCTTTGAATTTGATTGTATATTGAAGAGCCTTAATTATTTGCTATTATTCTTATTAATTGTTTGGTTATTGTTAAACAATAAATTACACGGCTAAAAATTTTGGTCGGTAATTTTATTTACTTAATAATTGAGTAAGGCAAGATTTTAA